CCCCTTTTATGCATAATTACCATATATTGCTCAGTCGCGCTATTCGATAGAGGAGATCGCGCAATTGTTTCAACAGGTCGTATCGCGGGCAAATAATGTTGACGATTCGCAGATCGAACGTACCCGCCGTTAGTACAGTTTTCGTAAACTCGTTGAATTTGTAAAATTGTCGTCGGGTCGTGAAATACAGATTGCCGTCGATGTATCTGAAGATTGACGTCACTCCATTCGGTATGCCTGGAAAGATGGACTCGATGGTGTAAAATTTGCTAATGCTGTCGGAGCAGTCGTCTATCTCACCGACGAGATATCCGTCGTACACCACATACGATTTTCCTTTGTTCGTATTTACGGCAGCGTTTATTTTCGCATTCATAGGAATTCCAAATTCTCGAAACGTTCTCGGCCACGTTGGCACTAGCGTGAAGTCGGGATAGTTGACTTTGTAAATTCTATCGTCGACGAATAGAATCAGATGATCCGATGGCGTTTGATACGCGGCAGAGATGCGCGTGAAGTTCGAATGAATGAATGGCATGTAGTTGGACAGCAGCATAGGTTCGTTGTAGGTCTTTCCATCTATGTCGATCGCCCATATATGTTTTCCGTATGCTACGTACATTCGTCTTTCCAACAGCAGTATCGCGTCGACGCGTTTCAAGGCGCATAGATCCGGTGGAGCGTTTGGTGTTGGATGCGGCGACGGTGGTGGTGGTAGTGGCGGCATGGGATTCCTTTTCGGTAACACGTCGGTATCCGTAGCGCCGTACACATTCTGTATGTTTAAAATGTCTTCGTTGCTGAGCGCAACGGGACGGGGGTCTACTGGTGCGAACGCATACATTATCGACGCATTGTTGGTACTATGATCTAATCCTAGCGCATGACCGATTTCGTGGGTCAACACGTATAGCAAATACGCTTTGTCCGATGGACACGTATCCAACTCGACATGTATGTACCACGGTTCCGTCTTGTCGACGTGAATCTCCGACATGTAATCCGGCGCTCCATTGGGATAGAAGGCGTGAGCCAGCGTGCCGCCGGGACCGTCGAAAGGGTTCGTGCAAACTTCACCGTTTTGCGACTCGACGAACGTGTGACGGGCCTCGCGCCACGATAGAAGAATATTTGGCCTT